CTTATGTTATTGAGCGTGCCCTGCTCTTTACGTCACAGGAAGTAATTTGACGCCTTTTGGCCGCGCACAGACAGAACCACTTTTTGAAGCCAAAATCGACATGTTCAACCCTCGATAACTTTTGTTTAATTGATTTTTAGAGCTTGCGTTTTTAAAATCGTCTTTTGTACATTAAACACTATAGGAATATCGAATAAAAAATTTCATTTCATAGGCACTTTAAAAGGGAAAATGTAAAACCCCTCCATTTTCTCTTTAACAGCAATTTATTTAATCTTCAACAGTGATATTATTTTTTATTTATTTATCGCCAATGCTACAGCTATACGAATCATTGTCTATTCTGTATTACGTAAATCAACATGTTTAACTTCGCCAATGTAATCCATCGTGTAGCTCTTGATCAGTTACCTGAAAAATAAACAAATATTATGGCAAGAGAAGTTTGACGGTCGATCGAATACAAGGTTGTTCTCAGTATTTCTATTATTATCGTCCCCGTTAATGCTATGTTTTATACAAGTGATGCTAAGCATGTCATCAGAATACAGGATATCGTTGTACTATTCCCGTTCGGATAGAAACAAATGGTTTTAATTCGTTTCGGTTACAGACGAGCAATTTTTTGTGCCGGCTAAATGTAGCTGTGCATGGTTTCGCCAAACACGAAGAAAGCCACATAGATTTGTTTAACAATATTTGTGTCTGGTTCAAGTAAAAACGGAACGTTATGCACGGCATACGGAAAACTACTTTTTACTATTTCATAACCAACATAATGTAAACGAATACATATATGTTTAAAAAAGTCATTTTCCCTACCCTGCATGTGCATAACGTTTCGTTTTTACTTGAACCGCTCATTGTAAAATTCACTAATAATTAATAACTAAAGGCTACAAACAAATGATGACGCGGTATTTAGGTCACATGTGCACACTTTTGACTCGCGTTAAGGAATTAGAACGTCATGTTAGAAGGATGTTGATTGGGCTATATTTAGAAGGTTAGAAGGATGTTGATTGTTGATTGGGCTATATTTCAATTACATTGTTGATTTTATTGCGAACGACTTTAACTCATTTAATACATATTTTTGCTGTGCATTTGAATTATTTAATTTGCTACTACAACTTTGTAGAGTGTATATTGGGTATGAGTAAGAAGAGTATGTATAATTAGATGCAAACACTCGCTGCGAGCAGTGACTGCGAGGAGCTTCGTGCGAGGATTGGAAAACCGCCTTAAGAATCCCGCCACTCAGGTCGACTAATTAGGGCTATACGCCTGCGAACAGGCCAGTAAAACAAAGATGGTGGCTTTCTACAGTTATTGAGTTATTTTTCAAATTTCGAAACAATTTTCAAAAACGTGTAAAGGATGATAGAACATGAAAATTGTCATGCCACCTTACACAGCGCATCATCAAAAAGATTGACTTAGACATTTTATTTCAAAGAATAGATATTTGTATTTTTTGTTCGCTAACTTCACATTAAGGTAACTTATTCTCATGAATAGCCAAACTAAATTAATTAGAACTATGTAGTATTTCCGTTAGACATGTTGCTATTTTATGTATGTTGTGATTTAATAAAAGTAAGGGATACAGTTGAGCAATAAGTCAATAATGATGTGGAATGTATTGGCATTATATACTTGCAAAAGTGTGTTTTATCAGTAGACATCTACCAACAATGATATGTTTTATGATTGGCTAGCTTTTTGAAACAAGAATGTTTTCTATAGACATAATTATATACTATTTCTATAGACGTAGTATATCATCTAGTGTCATAAGCAACTAATGACAAAGTTTGTTTATATATTAAGGGACAACTGGACAAACCAGTTTTGGTGACTTATGGTCAGAATTGGGTAATCCATGAGTGGGGTGTTAAATATACATCCCAGATACGCCTGTCTGGAATTCCTCTTAAGTCGCCTTAAATTGCTGTAAGTTGCCTTAAATCGCCTTAAGTCGCCCTAAATCACCCTAAGTCGCGGCCAAACTTTCCTCAAATTTTCCTAAGTCGCCTTAGATTGTCCAATGTTGCCCAATGTCGCAGCGACTTAAGGCAACTTTTGGACCCGGAGTAGGCCTCAAGTTCGCAAGACTCCAGTATTTTTTGTGTGGTCGTCTTGTTGTCTCTGTTGACGGGCTATTAAACAATTATTGGTGGAAATTGGGGGCAATAGTGTAAGGATGTTCTTTGTAGGTGTGCATGGCGATGAAACATATGATACTTTTTTTGTGGAAACACCACGAAAATTTATTACTGCAAAGCTTTCGATCCCGCGTAAGCCCGGATCTTTATCAGTGCCAATAATTAAAAATTATTGGCCGAAGGCGCAGTGATATTACCGGTGAATATTCACCGAGACGAAGTCGAGGTGAATATTCACCGTAATCACTGAGTCTGAGGCGAATAATTATTTTAGTATAAATTTTTAATGAATAAAACAAAATATCCAAGTTATCCAACTATAGTTTAATTAAAATTCAGAAATAAAACTGTTTTCGACCGGTTTACGGTTACTGTTTTAGTGTTGCTGTGTTTCTTGTACACGCACGCTTTCAAAATGGTTTCCTGTGTGACTTTATTGCTTTATTACAAAGTTGTTTTTCTCGATTTCTGCCTAGAATATAAACACAATGATGGATGACTTTTTCACCAGACTTTAATTTTTAAATTTAGCATTAATTTGTTCAGGAAATGGCTGAGAAATTTGGGAAAATGAAATATAAAACTATATCATTCGAAACATGAAAGTTTTAAATATACTTTTCATACAGCGTCAACACCATACAGAAAACACGACATATCAAAAGAAATAGTACCGCACAACTAATTGAGATATTTATATGATGATGTTTTGAGATGTTTTAAAAAGAATATCACGGCTTTTCCCAACAGTCCGGATGTTTTTGCTACTTGTTTGAAGCGAATGTTTCGGAGTTTTAAATAAGTTTTAAATTGTCCGTGAATATGTTTGACACAGTAAAATAATAAAGAAATCATACCTTTCAAGTTAAATACAACATATTATTATAGCACTGAATGATGAAGATCCGATCTTACGGATCGAAAGCTTTGCAGTAATGAATTTACGTGGTGTTTCCAAAAACAAAAGTATTATAAGTGTATTATAAGGTTGATTGAACCACAGCTGCAGCTTCGTGTATATAATTAAATTGCTCTACGGAAACCGGATAAAAATAGGAAACTATTTTGTTTTGATTCTTCTGTAAATATAGTGCAAGATATTCCAGAGTTGAGCAACTTATCAAATTGCGCGAAATGCACTATATCCACCAACAGATATTTTATAATATATATAGATAAGAATAAATAGATATTTTACTTACATCTAAGATGATTGAATTCACAAATGTAATGAAGTTTACGATGGCACGGTGCGTCATTCCATTGTCCCACCCTGACTCCTGCAGTGTACAAATGTGCACAATTCTCTCGGCCGCCTGAATCGTTTGGCTCACCAGCCGCCCAATTTGTATATGTTGGTTTTACTCCACAAACAGAAAGGAACTTGTGAGCAGACTGATCACGTGGTCTGTAATGATAAATTTCAAATACATAATTATTCATATTTTCTTGACATCGACGTCATGAAAGTGAAGCATAAACTAGGGCTAGGTGCTGATAATTTATTATATCGTAGATTATATAAAGGGAATTAAGATACGCGTGGAACAGCGGACTGGTAACGATTTACAATTTTTACCACAAGAACGTTACCTAACACAATACCACTGATGACTGATCTGTATAAAAAATTAAGCCGGTATCATAATGCGCCACCGACTATACTATAGATTTGTATTACAGCATAAGCGATCAATGGAAACCGGAAGGGGAGTAGGGTAACTACAATCCACCAGATGTGGAAGTGAGGGAGCTAAGCCACCAAAAATTTTAGAGTGGGAAAACTATAAATATGAAAGTGCCAGATTCTTCATTTCTTCGTTCTCCGAAATGGCTAAATTTGTATATCAGACTCAGAACGATGGAAATGAAGCTTGTTGTTAAATTAACGTGAATTTTGTCTAGCCCCAACCCAACCTAACCAATCATCCGCTCCATGAGTATAATAGCCTACATAATTATAGTTTTCGCCTGTTTTTCGCAAGATCAGATGTACACGAGCACATCAAAAAAGTTAAGGACTATTGACTTTCATGTGACATTTGCCGTTATTTTAAACTAAAATATCTTGAAAGTTGAAAGAAAAATTTCCTTTACAAAACATATATACAATCAAATAGAATGGATTAAAATTTCAATATTTTTATGCAGTGAGCCATACTACCGAGAAATTATTTAGTAATGAACCACATACGTACCTAAAATATCCAATCCAGGATGAAACCAATCCGCGTTTTTTTGCTTCTTTTGCCAAGAGATTGCTCTCGATCAAACTGGATATTATAACCAAGTCTCCACCATTCTTTTGACATGATGTGCGTGCAACGTGCCAATTCGCACGTTTGGCAAAAAACTTGTAGCATTTATTACCAATGTTGTTCCAACCACACGGACATACTTCTATAATTAGACGAAAGCACGAGTATTACAAGTAATGGAAAACGTCGAACACTGCTCCAGGCGATACGATTACTGTCTGGAACAGCCTTCTCTACTGGTCCTCATGCCTCATGTGAAGATACTGTAACTTGTAAACAAAATTGCGAACCGAATCTTGTAAACAAAATTGCGTAATACACTCTTGCTTATAAGACACGAGATAATTTGTCAGCATTTTGTCTGCATAAATACAAAGTTTTAAAAACAATAAACACTAAAGTGTTTTTTAACAACCGAACTACAGGGTGTATAAAAAACGGAGTCCTCACATGAAGTGTAAATTTCAAAGCGAATATGAATGTTAGACGTTTATACTTGCATTCTTTCGAAATCGCGATTTTTCGGGTATTTTATATACTTTATTTTATACAATTTGGACTTATTGCTGGCAACCTGTGTCAATTTAAGTAAGTGCAATTGGAAAATTAAAAAACGTAGATGTGTTGAATTCACAATTTATTTAAACGTTCCAAAAAATAAGTTGGAAGTACACATTTACTCAACGTGGCCTCCATTTCTAAGTTCACACAAGTTCGTTCTTTGTCTCATATCCAAGACAACTCTTCTTCTTCCTGAGTTTCCTTTATTTCGATTTAAACTTTATGGGGTGGTTCTTCCATTCAATGCATGCAGCCGGTATTTGTTGACATTACGCCAAACGCTCGATGAAGATTACGTCCTGGAAAAGCTATTTGAAATTGTCTTAATACTCCAACAACGCTTTTTGTTTCGAAATACTTTTCAACAATGAATGTTCTTTCCGGAATTGTTAGCTTTGGCATTATGAATGGTGATTGTAAAGTTTTAAACAACAACGTTCTAAATTTTAGCAAACTACCTTTAATTAAGTCCCCAAGGGACTTCGAAGATTATTATTTCGAAGCATCTAAAAACGAGCGCTTTTACTAAATTATTTTTTTTGCGATTAGACTTAGTTCAAAATTTTCAAGAAACCCTTCATTCGAAAGATGAAAGAACAAGCTTTAAATTGAGCACAAAACGAAACTATGGTAGTTTATTTTACGATAGAAATAAGGATATTTAGGACGACTCCGTTTTTTTTATACACCCTGTAGTGCACAATTTTACGTGTTGCTAAAGAAAAACGTTGTTCAGTTTAATTAAAGAATCGCGCGCATTCCTTAGAACAAGGCATAGTACCACAGGACGAAAAGCGCACCTTTAATATGCTATTAAAGTAGGATTAATGGTGTATTTTATTCGTGTTTAGTCGCACTTAATGCGTTTTATTAAAGAGATTAAAGGTGCGTTTCAACACCTTTAGTTCGTTGCATTAAGTGTATTAACGACCACATTAATACCCAGAGATTAATGTTCAATAAAGGATACTAAGTGTGCATTTAATTCGGGCGATTAAAGACCGATAAAATGCGGTTAAATATGTATTTAGTCGGCTTTAATATTGGTAGAATTGTTGATTAAAGACAACTTTAATCATACAAAAATGTGTTGCTTATGGGTTATTAAAGGTAAATTTAATCAGTTGATTAAAGACCGCTTAAAGCGATATAAAGAATGAATTAATCACATTTCATACATTGATTAAACTTTGTGTAAGTGCCATTTTAGTTCTATTTAGTCGCTCTATTATATTTGCAATAAGTTGCATCGCTTGTGACGTTGGGCTTTTTATTGCGCTTTTTAAATAGAAAATCTCGAATTTGTGTCATATTTTCTGACAATACAGTATTATTCATGGATCATGATTACAAAAACCCGGTCTTGCTTGCATGACTCAACGTACACGCTTCGGTAATTATTATAAGAACATGTAAAAATCAGAGTAATCATTTGTAATGATGAAATGCAACATTAACTCAAATATACAACAGGCGTTCATCTTTAAAATAAATTTATTATAACATATACATATACTACACCCGTTCATGTATGAAAATGAAACTAAAATTATATATCGAACTGAAACATTTATAATAAGCCCAGACTAATCCTTTCTCGCATAGCGTTCTCACGTACGATATTGTCATCCGTTTACAAGGAAATATAGAAAACACTATATACGAAAACGGATTTGTGCGGACAAAGACCCAGTATAAAAACGGAACCTAAAATTATCACGTTTTGAGATTGGCTTTGTAAGATAAAAGTGACTAATGTTTGTGACTCGTTCTTTAGAAAATTCTTTTCAGCTAGCAAAAATTGTTGCCAATTTATGTACAATACACTGTAAATTTCAAGGAGTCTGTATAATTAACTCCAAAATGTTATTCTGTAGTCGTTTTAGACCTTTTTGGTTACAAAATAAAACATTTTGAGTTGATTGAACTCCTTGAAATTTACAGTGTACACAGCTAAATTCACTTATATTGCCCTGGAAACGTTAAAAGGCAATTAAGACTACAACATGCAGAGCGGGCAAAGCCAAGCGAATGATGCAAATCCTTAAATTTTTAGCGCTGGTCCTAACTGGTAGCTGTTTCATAATGTATTTCAAGTAAATAACGAGCTCATTCCCTCTATATAGTGGCGGATTTGTGTCAACATCTGCGCCAACTTGCGCTGGTCCATTTTCAACCTCATATGTTCCCAATCTGCATGGACAGTTGGCCGTGTTCGCTGGTTTGCCAGGTTCGATGGTTCTCCTTGCTATTATGAGTCATGACTCTCCTTGATAGTCCAGGCAGAAAATCCTAGTGATTCTTTATCGATTCTTCTTTGCTTTCCCAGGCAAACTTTCGCACGTTGTACTGTTTCA